GCCAGCCGACTGGGCAGTGCTCCAGTCAGGGCGCTTGATTTTTCGCGATCGAATGACCGCGAGTGAAAATCTAAGTCGGAAGTCAGCTTTTCTGGCCTGCCATCCTTTCCGGGGCAAATAAAGTGAACTTCAGCTTGGTTGGAAGTCCAACAGCGGTAGGCCCCTGGAGAGATTTTCTCCCACCATGGGAATGTGAAACTGCCACCACAACAAAGAAGAGCACCACCCCACGCTTGTTTGAGTAGGGAGACGCGTTGGAACCTTTGGTTCAGAGCACGGTAAGGAGGATGATGTAGGGGAAGAGGAGTAGGCGGGGGCTTGTAAGGGGTGGGACGCAGCAAGTGGAGGGGAAAGAGGGAGGTTGGATACTGAGCAGGGGGGGTACTGAGAAAGGGGGTGGGAAAGTGAAGTGGTGGTTGGGATGGAAGTGGCCGGAGGGGGGCTTTTTCTCCTGTCTGCCTCAGACCCTCCTCTTTCTATTTTTCCTTACTCGCCTCCGCTCGGCTCTTTGCACTGCTGGCCCCCGGGCACCCAGAGCTCTGGGAGGCGAGATGGTGGACGTTCTCTCGAAGCCCGGCGAGCCTCCGTGCGACAGGGCGGTTGGGTCGGCGCGGCGATTTCTCTCTAAGATCCTGAGAAAGTCCATGAGGTAATTCTGCTCCTCGCTTGTCCTGCGCCCAGAATCGCTCGCCCGCGTCTACCGATCAAGCCCCCAGTGGTCGTCGTCCGTGGGGGACAGCCCAGTAGTTGTACCCTCTGCTCGTCCCTTCCGACTCTGCGTGCACCGTAGTGAATGTAGTACGTTTCGGACGTTGCTTTAGTTGCATTTTCATCTCTGCTTCTTGTTTTGGTTCGTTCGTGCCTTTGCTTTGTGATTGTTGTCTCTCCGCAGTTCCCTCTGGTTCTTTACTGCCGCTGCGTAATTTCCTCCCTCGCTCGCTGTTGCCTGTTAATGCGTGATGCAATCCTTAAAACGGCTAACGTCGCATGTCTTTGAAGACGGACGAGATTGTTGATTTTTGTGGTAGCGCTGTGCCATTCCTGTGTTCAGCCGAAGCACTCCCCGACGTGTCCTCCCTCCGCACCGCTTGAACGTGTGACATGAATGAATGCTTTTATTGCTCAAAGAAAGTTGTTTAATGTGTCCGTTAATGCCGCGTTAAAAACAACCCGGGCTGTCAGGCACGGCACTCCGTTGGTTGTAAGCAAAGCGATTGTGCCTGCGGAAAGATCAAGCCCGACCTTGTCGCTTTGTTGTCGGCACCGCATCACAGAGTGCCAGCCCGTTGGAGACAGCGGCATTAACTCAGCCTTGTCCATAGCTTGGGGGACGGCTTGCTCTCGACGCTTGAGTTGTAGTATGCAATATCTCGGTTGACGCGATCAACTTAACCACAGACGGTAATACAGCAAGTGTGACCAGGGCTATGAACAAGAGTGGCACGTGTAGTGGCTTACTGACGTTTACTTGTGAGTTGGTTAAAATAGTCAAAGGGTACCCAAGGCTCAAACAAGTAATGGGACAAAACTCATCTCCCTCTTTGGGGGCCTGAGCCAGAAATGAGAGTTCCACATTGTTCGGACATTCCACAGTAAGTGACGTCCCTCAAAGTGGGATTAATTTCATCATCGTGAAGAGATGATGCCCTTATCTTAAACCTGGAATTTGCATGTATGTGAGTATCAAAACGTTGGTGATTTAACAAGACCACGAGCCCTGATCTGGAGATTTATTGTAATTATAATTGGCAATACAATTTTTATTTATTTGAACTCAACAAGATCATTCGCTCGTGTAACAAAGTTTCTTCACAAAGTGTCTCCCTCTCAACGGTCTTCGGAAATCCACTACATGCTGTAAAATTCCACGGTACGGAAATTCACTCTTAATTGCTTTATGGCACGCGCAAGGGATTTTTTTCCGGCGGATATTGAACGTTCTATTTGGCTTATTTTGTGCAAGTTTCTCAGAGGATGGGATGGTTTTACTGCTGGAAGTTAGGGGTGGCCTAAGACTGAGAAGAGGAGGCATTTAACACCGATTGTGAGTGTCCATTCCAGCGTCGTAATTTTCGCGAGGGCATTTTTTCCTGTGCATTTTTCCACAATGTTTATGGACGCGAAGAATGCCAAAACAAGGCTTGGCCCTTGCTCTCTTATTTACAATAGACATTTTTTGTTCAGTTTTTCCCCCAAAAAAAACGTCTCGTTCACACCTGTGCACGATGTCTCGTGTTTTGGTATCTTTTATTTGCTTATTTGTGAAGCCCGCATCGAGTTCCGCTCATTTGAATGACCTTCATTTGCGACCGGTGGATCTGGCCATGTTACGGACCTGGCTCAATATTTCACTTAACCGATGTGGCCCCCCCCCCAAATAAAATAATGTCACCAATATTGGTCGTGTGTGACGTATGTCACATTTGGTTTTGTTCTTGACAATAGTTGGTGGGTGTTTGCACGTTACAGAACAGCCCTTATGTTCACTCCATTAACCTACACTTGGTTGGTAAATATAGAAGACAACAAAAATATGCGGCAGACTCCACCAAATATTACTAATATAGATCTACGAGTAATGTTTTTTTTTAAGTTTCAGTTCTGCACTTCAAAGTGTCAAATTTTGTTCCTGGCATGTAAATAAATGTACCTTATTGACCTTAGAAACGCCTCAACGAATATCATACCCATTTTGAAGTCTGCTATATATGCTTGGTCATGTCGTGACTGGGTATTCTTACATTCGGGAGAATTCTGAAATCCCTAGAGAATCTCTGCATGAAGCCATAGTTCGGTGACACGTACTGCTAGCTTCTGGCAACTGTACAATCTTAGAATCGGCATCTTAATTTATCTTTATTTGGAGAAATCCGATGAGCTTTGAAGCTTTTTTTTATAGATCTAGTTGGGGCGGGTCAGAAAGGTGTCTTGCACATATGATCTCTGCTCAAAGCTCCTGCTTGCAGGAAAAACACCGCCCTGCCAGGCAAACATTTGTCTTCATCATCAGATTTGTTTTTATCGATACACGTGCAACACACAATTTTAAATCTAAAACTAATGAATTATACTAGACAGTCCACAAACAACACTGGTCTCTTAAAACGTTGCTGTTTTAAATACAATGTACCCTCATTAAATTCAGGCTTTGTAATATTCACGTGGATACATACAAATAATTATTGTAATATATATTTACTGTGCTCTAGTTATTTTAATGTTATGCTTTTAATGCAATAAAGTATTCACTATTGATCTCCAACGAAGTATAATTATTTATCAACCTCGGAGAGTGATGGACAAGGTCAACACCTCATCGGGTTTTCAACTCCTCAGTGTAAATTAACAACTTGGTAACCACGTGATAGCCCAATGAAACACAAAAGTCCGTCTTCCGAGGGAGACCAGTAAAGAATTATAACCACAGCAACAACCCTGTACTTTGTAGATGTGTCAAAATGATTGGCTTTATCATCAGTATCTTTTAGTGCATTACCGCGTGCTCGTAAAGTGAGTCGCAAAGTGCGGCACAAACACAGAACGTGGGTTTTTCTGTGCGTGGCGAGCGTTCTTTTTTGTATATCTGCACCCGAGCACTAGTGACATCTGAGCCGTCCGCTGTCTGCACGTTGATTTGCGCTTTACCGAACCCCTCTGTTGATTTGCCGCTTCCTGGAAATTGCAAAATCGTTTCGCACGTCCATGAAACGTCTCTCGATTTGACCTTTTCATTTCTTCCCCCGCATTGGCTGTTTTTACCGTAAATTCAATGTTTACTTTATCACTATTACGGATCAGAAAAATTTCAACGGGCATACACCTGTTTTGATATCTTCCTGGAAATTGCAAAATCGTTTCGCACGTCCATGAAACGTCTCTCGATTTGACCTTTTCATTTCTTCCCCCGCATTGGCTGTTTTTACCGTAAATTCAGTGTTTACTTGATCACTATCACGGATCTGAAAAATTTCAACGGGCATAAACCTGTTTTGATATCTGAATGATGGTAGCTTTGTCACTGCTCAAATGAGTTGCTGAACTTGATGGTGAAATGGGCTGGGCTGTGCACGTGGAGTACTGGGTCTGAAGCATGAGATTGCGTGGGGCGCCGCAGTGGTGAGATGTTAATTACCTCGCCTGGTATACAGGAGGTCGTGGGTTCGATCCTGACCCTGATGCCTGTATATTTGGAGTTTGCATGTTCTCCCTGTGGTCGCGTGGATTTTTCTCCGGGTTATCTGGATTTTTCCTTCCACATTTTAGAATCAACGTGCGTTTAGAGTATTTGGCTGCTATAAATGTCCACCTAAAAAACCTCTTCGTTGAACTATCAGTTGTGGCCAGGTCGCTTCTGAAAACTATCTACACAGCTCAGTGGGCCTTAACTGGTAGTTTTAGTTTAGTTTTCATAGTGTGCCAGTGTAGCTAACATTATATGTGGTTACGGTTGGCAACACGGTGTGACTTGTAACACTTGTAAATATGACTCGCGATGCCAAGAAACGATAACTCGTTTTCATGAGCACTGGAGTTGGTAAGCAATGGGTAGCACGATGGATGAGACTGCTTACGGGGAGTGGCGGCCGATGGAGAGAAGGCTTCTAAGTTCACGTTCAGGAGTGAGATGGATGAGTCGCAGCGCTGGTCCATGATGGGATGGTGGCTGTGTGGGTAGGCCTTCACGCAGCAGTGGATAGAGAGCGGCTGTTGATGATTACGATGACCCCTGACCAGCACTTAACATTTCTGATCGTAAGTACTGTAAAGCTTTTTACCAACAGTGCTGTCTGATTGGATTTGCCATTGGTATCACAGCACGGTGATAAATGGGCACAGGAATTTTAATTGAGAGCAATTTTAGAATGAGATGCAAGTAGATTTGTAGGAAGGTGCCTGATGATGATGATGACGATGACGGGGAGGTGGCGATGGTGTGCACATGTGATCGTGGGTCCCACGTTGACGCCCCCTCGTTTTGCGCCTCCCCCCGCGTGTTCCAGGAGGAGCGACCCTGTGAGCCGCCCCCACTCGTGGCACTCGACCAAACACGAGGAGGACGAGGAGGCGACGGGCATGATGCGCATCTCCCAGGGCAGCGCCAGCACCGCCTGGCACCCGACCTACCACACCAGGTACGCCGGGTCACTGCCGCACCTTGCGTTGCTCCACTACCGCAGCAGGTACACCATGTCTACCACACGAAGTACTCCCAATCTACCAGACCAATATGAACGGATAACCATATTATACAGCATATGCATTTGGATGTTATCGTGTAGACTGTACCACGCATGTGTGTATATATATGTGTATGTCGATGTTGATTTCATTGTCGGTAGCACTCACCGGGGTGGTTCTTACTTCCGTAAAGTGCGGGGAATTTAAAGGCATTCGCTCATTTCTGTAGCCCAAATGTGCAAGAGTACTTGGAAGCAAATACATTTTTTTAATAGACCTAATTTCATCAAACGGAACTAAATTTAACACCATAATTTTTTAAAACTCATTCTACTTATAGCTAATGTCCCTATGAGTCTGCGGCCTCATTTAATACTTTGTGGTTTCCGACGCAGTATTTACAATTGCGGTTTGTTAAACAATCCCGGAGCGTCCCACAGAATGTGCCGTTAGGCCTATGCTCGCTCACAGGGGTTCAAGCAAAATCAAATCTCACTCGGCTTCTAACAGTAACGGTTCGCCTTTCCGCAGAGTGACGCTGGATTGACCACTGATGTGCGGTCAACACAATGTGTAGTTGAAACCCGAAGCTATTTTTAGGCACTGCAGATTGGTGATGGTTGAGCAAGGGAAATTTGAATTGTGTCGAGTTTTAGGTTCTATTCCTTGTACCCTATTGAGCCGGATTAGTGTCACGTATCCTAAGCCATTAAAGGATTATTTTAGGTTGGTTTAACCTTACACTGTGCTAATAGTAGCCTCGTGTATACAGGAGAGGCTCCGTGGGTGTCGAGGCCCTTTTCGAGATGGGCATGCAGTACAATGTTTGGCCAAATCGTTACTTTTATTTGGCATGTGGGAGTCGTACGTTGAGAAGCCCTGTAAGGAAAAGTACTGTACAGAAAGGTTCACCAACCCACTTGATGGACCGCCATCTACTGGTCGCCTACTGACACGTAAGAATATATTGCCAAATTCAGCTCAACCATGGTGTGAGGGCTTTTCTCACATACAAGGAAAAGGTGTCGCCCTGCTCAAACGAGAGCTACCTTATGGCTTTAACGTCTGTGCGAAGTGGCCCTGAGTCAGGTGTGGAAATTCCACGTTTCATATTCTGGAGATCAATTTACCCATGACATTGTAATGGTTGCCTGTACAGAATAGTACTTATTTTATTGAGCCCATAAAAGAACCTGGGCTTCGACGAATTCAACTGGGTTTGAACTTGCAACCTTCCATTTCTGCCCAAGTCCGCAAGCTTTCAGTCATGGTTTGCACATCCTTGCCAGGCAGTTGGTGGCTGTGCTTGCATGTGGCCCGTAATCCAGCACTGGAGGCGCGAGGGTCCCTTCCCGTGGTTATCGAGGTGCCTGTAACCCTGGCTCGCCAGCAGAATGCAGTACAGCGAAGTGTGGGGACTTAACTTCAACTTTCTCTTCTGTGTGGGAAAGAGTGTTGCCCCCTCGCATGCGTGGGTTTTTTTTCGGGCAGCTTCAGGTTCCTCTCAAATGTGTAAGCATTCACTATTTGGTTGAAAGCATCTTAATATATAGAGAACTGCAGAGCCATTGTTGGCACCGGCTCAACGCCTGGCAGCCTCCCCAGCTTGTCTGTGGTTCCTCGGTGATTGTGATATGCAATTTGCATGACATGCCGCTAGATATATAAAACTCACCGTTAGATTTGTATCGTAGCGCTAACCTAGTTGCTGCCATGTGACTGTTTCGCAGTAGCTCCTCTACCAGTGACCTCTCCGGATCGTACGACATGGCGGGATATGGGCACCACCTCAGCCCGGACCAGTACAGCTCCCGGGGCAGCATGGATAGCCTCGACCACCCCACGCAGCCGAGCCAGCACCACCAGCACCTCCACCCGCACCATCCACACCACAACCAGCATCATCCGCCCCACGGCAGCGACGGGCTGCTGCACCCCACCTCAGGGCAGCACCACGGCTTCTATCCCCACGTACAGCAGCAGCAGCACCAGCAGCAGCAGCACCATCAGCACGTCAAGTCGTCCAGCAGCGTGGACAGCAAGCGCGACTCGGCCTACAGCTCTTTCTCCGTGAGCGACCGCTCGGGATCGGCGGAGAATGTGGCGGCCGCCCCTGTGGTGGGCTGCTGGGATGGTACCGGTGGCGGCGGCGGTGGCGGCGGCGGTGGCGGCGGTGGGAACTTGTCACCACCGGCTGACCTGCGCTTTGTGCGGACTGTTTACGGAGAGGCGGGCAGCGTGCGTGAGGAGCCGGAGACACGGGCGTCACGGCGCAGTGAAATTGAGGTGCCGAGGAACGGGGAGGCGCGTGGATCCGCGACCGGTGTCGCCGCCGCCACGTACGAGAACGGGAACCGCGACATCTGTGGAGCAGGCTCGGCCAGGGCCCGGTACGAGATCAGGGAGAACCTGACCAACAGCGCCATGAAGAACTACTACGGCAAGGACGAGCCGGGCGAGGGCAAGTCCCGCGACATTTACGCCTCCGAGCTTGGCTACAGACACACGGAGAGCCTCAAGAGGGCGGACCATTACAGCAACAAGGACTGCTTGATGCACAACAGCAAGCAGGCGAACAGCCTCGATTACCCCAGCAGGTACGGCAAGGAGCGCCTCCACTCGGGCTGTGACGAGACGCTCGGCGGTGGCAAGGAGGCCGGCGACAGCCACCAGGGGCAGCAGTCGTCGTACAGAAGGTGCTCAGAGTCGAGTCGGCGGAGCAGCGGGCAGCTGTGGCAGCCGCCGATGAAGGCGGCCGTGAGCGTGGACAGCGTGGTCTCCTCGCCGGTGGGGACGCCGCCGCCGCCGCCCATCCGCAGCGTCAGCTTCATCGCCACGCGCAACCACGAGAAGTCGCCGTCGTGGTCGGGCCCCGACGGCTACCTCCCGCCGGCGGTCGCGGCGGTCGCGCCGGGGCCTCCCAACGCCACGGCGCCAACCCCCCGGCCTCCGCCACGCGGCAGCTCGGCCTCGAACCTCCTGGCGTTCTCGGAGCCGCACCCGCTCAACACGGTGCCAGAGCGCAGCCCCGAGGCCAGCCCCATGGTCCCACGCAAGCCGGTGCCATCCCCGCAGCCCGCACAGGCCTACCCCGGGCAGCCCCTCGCCCCCACAGGCGTCTACTCGGCACAGCAGCAGCAGCAACAAGATCCTCGCTACGCGCTGTCGGTGTCCGGAGGCGCCGGCGGTTATGGCTATCCGGCTGTGGGAAAGCAGTGCTCCGACGTTTATTACAATCAGCCTCCTGTGACAGCCGAGAGCCTGAAGCCTCAGCATGGCAGGCACTGCGAGGATGGTGGCTTCGGCCAAAGCCCGCCCCCGAGATCCTACAGTAGCGGCGGGAGGCAGAGCCTGGGCCCGCCGAGCTCGTATCAAAATCAAGATGGGGCGGCGGAGTCCAACGTCGGTTCGCTCCGAGGGCAGCCGTTGAAGTCGGCCAGCATGCTGGAGCTGAACCAGCCATGTGCTGCGGCGGCGAGGTACTACTGCATCTCCATGAACCACCCAACGCAGGTGGAGGTGGCCCCGTGCCCGCCGCCCAAGGGGGAGTACAGGCAGTGGCACGACGAGGCCGTCCAGCCGTTGGCCTACGCTTACGCGGACCAGATCCGGAGACCGGACTCGGCCAGCCGGAAGCGCTACAACAGCAGCGGCAGCAGCAGCAGCAGCAGCAGCCACAGCTCGCAGGGCAGCATCGCCGCGCGCGTCGACCTGAAACCCACGAGCTTCCCGCCGACGGACGGCCGCCCCCCCAGCAGCAGCGGCAGGAGGCAGTTGAGCGGTGGCTCGGCCGAGACCGGCTCCAGCTTCGACGGCCGGCAGTCGGCGCACACCGACTTCGATAGGGGGGGTGGCGGCTTCTACGGCTTTGCAGAAGACCCTCGCAACGGCGGTGGCGGCGGCGTGGCGGACCGGTTGGGCACGCGCAACGTGATTAGTGCTGAGCGCACGCCTATGCTGCATCACCTGACGGTGCTCGGTGCGGCAGAGGGTGGCAGCAGGGCGGCGGCAGCGGCGGCGACCGCCGGTGATCCCGGCAAGCAGATACGGCGCAGCGACCGCTTCGCGACCACACTGCGTAACGAGATCCAGATGAAACGTGCCCAGCTGCAGAAGAGCAAGAGTTCCTCTCAGCTCGTGGAAGAGGAGGAGGAGGAGGAAGAGAATGAAGCCGCGGAGTCACTAACGAGCCAGTGGAAAGGAGAGTCCGCCAAGGATGAGCTCAACTCCCCGCTGGATGCTGCGTACGGCGAGGCCTACAAGGAGCACGTGAAGGAGGCTCAGACCAAGGTTCTCAGAGCGACGTCCTTCCGCCGCCGTGACCTGGAAATCAGACTGCCCTTCGACTCGAGCCTGAAGTCGCGGACGCTTGAGAACTCGGAGGGCAATCACAGCAGGTCGAGCTCTCTGAGCAACCCGCCGCTCACTCGGAGCCAACTGGACAGTGCTTTCCAGAGCACAGAGAGCCTGCCGGCGCACCACGTTCCCCGCATATGTGGTCGCAAGCGGCTGACGGACCAGCAGAAGAAGAGGTCGTATTCGGAGCCGGAGAAAATGAACGAGGTGGGTGTGGGTTCAGAGAGTGACACTTCCCCGGCCTTTGGAAGCAAGTTGCGCGATGGCGCGTTTGCCTACCCGGAGGGCAGCGCTGCTCTTTGCGGCAACAGCAATGGTGACCGCGGCTCTGTCGCAGACAGACGGAAATTTTTCGAGAAGGACGGCAGCAAGATGTCTCTCCTGCAAAGGGCACAGGCAAAACAGCAGCATCAGCAGCATGTCTCAAATTCTTCGAACACTAAATCCGAACGGCACGATGCACTGAAAGATGGATACGGTTGGTACGGTCATCCCGAGCTGTGCTTGGCAAAAATGGAAGCCCGTCGCCACTCCTCGTCATCCTCTTCCAGCCTGAGCTCCTCGTCGGAGCAGCAATGCCTGTGGAGGCCCCACGGAGAGGACGTCAGACCGATGGCCGCGTACTCCGACTTGAGCCCTCCTGCGTATCAGCAACACGCCGGCTCTGAGAGAAAGCTCACGTCTGCTGGCCGTGCCCAGGGGCTGGAGCAGCAGCAACCTTACGGCTCCGACTTGAATGTTAACGACGGCGGCTTCGGCAACTCCGATCATCAGACGGCGACGGGCGCCCGTGGTAGGGAGCGCCAGCAATTGCAGCAGCCGTCGTGGTCGCAGCAGGCGCACCTGCACCAGCAGCAGCAGCAGCAGATGTCCCTGGAGATGCTGCCCCCACGAAATTCCGAAAAGTTTGTGTCCAGCGAAAATCTGACGAGCTGGAAGGCTGACGGGAGGAGACACGTGCACGTTCGCTCGCGCTCTTCGCCTACCTCGGAGGTGTCTTGCAAGGTGAGTCTTCATGCCCCCCTCACCAGCACCCTTACATCCCCCGTTTGTATGTTTTTTTACGTGTTGTTGACCTTCTTTCGCACGGTACGTAGCCAACCGTGCTGATTTGAGGGTGCGCCATGGACATCTGTGAAACTACTGGACATCCGTGAAAAAGGAGTGTCAGAGATCATTGGATTTTTCTAAGAAAGATAATGATTCCGCTAAAGATTCAGATTCTGTGGAGTGGGTGACACGTGTGGCCGGGGGTGGCCCTCGGCGTTTATTGTACGCTCCCTCCAATTTCAAAGGCAGTGACCCACGCAGTGAACCAACCAACCCCCACCCCCTTCTCCCAAAGCCCCCCACTCGAGTTAATCCTGCGGTAATGACGTGCACCCAGGACCTAATCGAATCATTGCTTCCAGCCCTCCCCACCCCCCCCCCCCCACCCCCGCTTTTGGTGAGGACGCCGCAATGGCCGACCGGCCCCGGTAGCGCTCGATTAAGGGAGAGGGGGGCCCCTTTGTGAGTTGGTCTCGTGGCCCAAAAGCCGCATGGAAAATCACCGGCAATTATGACATTCTTCTATACGGAGGGCATGGGCCCACCACCTCCACGTTAGCCGGTGTGAAGGTCGGCTGAGCTGCCCTGCGTCAACGAAGGAATAGAGGAGCCCTCCCCCGAGTGTATTACATGCGCACGCTTTGAGCTGGGCGTGGTGGCGGGGCACGCCTATAATGCGCACCACTTTAGGGAGCGAAGGGTTGGCGGGTTCGCGTCGAATTTTGGAACACAAAAAAAACCTGGTCTGCGAGTGGTCAGGAGATGATCGATTTGGTAATGGGCCCAGTATATTCATACCTCCGAATATAACCCTCGTATTTGTGTGTGTGGGTTTTCTCAGTACGCCAGTTTTTTCTTCCCACGTGCAAAACATAACTTACATCGGCGTTGGATGAGACTTGGCAAAGCTCTGATAGATAGAGATTTTGCCGTAGTATTTTAGCTTTTTTACAGCAGGCCTGTAGCGCGTCCCTCGGCGCAATATCGAAAATCCTCTGCGGTATTCGGACACGCTCGCTCTCTCAGTCGGTCCTTTCCTACCCCCTAGTGGGGATATTGAGCAACTGCGTCAATGTTTCGTCAGCAGTGTTCTTTCTGCAACGGGGAAGCTTTAACAATTGTCCCTAATGCCCTTCACATCATTGTGCCTTGTGTAGGCAATTTGTCTTTGTGCAATGTGTGGTCAGGCTGTGTACTGGGCGCCAGGCAATTAAATAATCTCGTGGGCTTTTGGTCATGCAGCCTTCGAAATGACACTGCCAAAACAAATAGTGAAACTTTTGCAGCGATTCATTGCCAGCATGTGTTTAAAGTGCTCCATCAATAAACGGCACAAGCTGTTTACAGCTGCAGTCTTCCTTACACCCAGCACCATGGTGGTAATGTACTAAAATATGTTAGACGTGGCTCTGGAATGGCAGTTGCTGACAATCTGGACTTGTATGTAAACAAGAGCGTGACACCATGCCAAGTTAGTCCCACAGTACTTCGCCGTCTTAAGTGATAGTGGGTAATGGATACCACTAAATAATAACGGGGGAATTTTGTGGCATGATGTTTGGGTGGTTGCATGCGTTTTCGTGGTTTGTTTTACATGTTCTGTATATTTCTGTATTGACCTGATAGCGCTTCAATAATTTAGCCTCAGAATTTTTATCAGAATGTGTGCTGTGGGCATCGTGATAATCACGAAACTTGTTCAAGGTGTATGCATTGATCTACTTTGCAGATGGTTTTTTGAATTCACAAAGTTACAAACTGTTATTTGGTTATTTAAATACTTTAATGCACATGTATTTATTGAAAGACAATTCCTGAAATCTTCTGAGATATGTCTCTACCAAGAAGCCCACTGTCTGGAGACTAGTTGAGACATTTGATATGCAGAATATTGTACTTAATTTTCAGTTAATCATTATTACTGAGCGAAGTGTTTAAATAAAATAAAATACACAAAGATCGAATTTTATTTTAAGCAATATCACATTTTAAAATGCCGTACCAGCTTACCGAATGTTCTTAGAGTATCAGTGTTCTACATAAGCCTAATTTTCAGCTGGTTTAATTGGCCATCGTGCCCACGGTTAACGTGTTTGTTAGCAAATAATATTTGCCGATCTTGCTGACACAAAGGTCGCGTGACGCTGAGTTAACGGTTGTGCTGTCACGTCAGTATCAAGTTAATGTCCGAAACCAAACACGTGGTGTTCATTCAGGACGCGCTTCTTCTTCCTTAGATTCTTTATTGGGCACGTGACAACGCGTAGTTTCGTCAAATAAAGTCGATTCTTGCCTTCACGGTCGTGCATTTGAGAATCGATAAGTAAAAATGCATACGATTTACCCCGTGTGCAAATGGGATACTGTATTACGTTTAAGCTAGCGGGGTGAACTAGACTGTACAAATGAGGCTTGCGACACAAAAAACAGTACGACCAAAGCCTGCAAACATGCCACACTCGATTATAATCGAATCTCCAGTCTCAATTGTGACTGTCAGTATTGACAACTCATTGGATTGTGGTGGGGAGGCAGACGATTGTGTTGTTGCCGGGATTTACGTGGCGTTTCTCAGGTCCGGCACTTGTAGTGCGTTCACATTTTGCCAACATTAACCGATCAAGTGAAACCGATTTTGTCCATTTCATTCAAGAAGTTAAAAACTTCCTAAATCCGAGCCACATTATCCTGAACTATTAAGAGCAAGAGTTTCCGCTATTTATTGTCAAATTTTCTTTTATTTGGCAGGTATTATTTTTTGAAAAAAATTTTGCAGTAAATTACGTAACATACACATCGTATGTGTTGCAACCCAAACAGCATCGCGTTATATTTTAGCAATACCTCAGATTTCCATTTGGGTTTTTCCATCGACATCAGGAAGTGCATTTGTTGCAGATCTCTCTGAGGTGGGTTTCGGCAGTTTATATGGGGAGAAGCCTAACAATCCAAGAACCAGTCGGCGCACCACTTGCACAAGTGGCATTAGTAATAGGACTCACGCGGTGGAATGTGTAGGCCTCGCCTCTCACATGTGGAATGGGGCCTGCCTTGGACGCGGAGGAGCGTGTGCAATGAACGAGCAGCGCGTGGAGTGAGCGCTCGCCCCGGCGAGAGCTTTGCTCACGGCTGCCCCCCTCCCCCCGTGTGTCCAGCAGGAGCTGTTGGCGCGTCTCGGGAAGCTGGAGATCCGCAGGGATGAGGACCACGCCCCGGTGCACGCCAACCCCGAGCAGCATGGCTCAGCGGCAGGTACTTACCCCCCCCCACTTCCCCACATCATCGTCACCTCGCCGTGGATGTCGTCGTTGTCGCGAAGGACAAACGGCGCGCCCGAGGTCTCGTCCAGTCAATACCTGTGACCAGGTGACACTCTGACTGTGCTTACGGTGCTCGACTCACAAGGGGGAAATGTCCGAGTTCAAATCTAGGTTACGGGTTGACTCATCCCGTAAGCTGTGAAATAAGTACCACGTTTTGGGAATTATTTGCGCTGTCGGATCTCCTGCTAGACTTACCCCAACCATGGAAATGTGGAATTGATACGAATGGTTTAGAGCTGCCAGAGGTTATGAGTGCAACCCCATTGCTTGTTGAACAGGAATGTACTTGACTTTGTTTTTTAAATGGACTATTACACTATCCACTTATTTTCTACATTGTAATTGTTTTTGTAATTTATACATGGTGTGGTATATCTTGTTTTTGTAACATTTTAATGTAATAAAGCATTTCCTCCATATGATCACAGAGGCTAATTACAGTACTGTGTTTATGAGTAGCGATCGTTAAACATTTTCATCTTGAGATACGGCAGAGTTTGATGTGATCTTTACATTGCTCTAAATTTTAACACCAATCTGTTCTAAACCAGTGATGAAAAAAAAATGCCGGCTTTTAAATAAATAGAAATAACGCACACAATTCGCTGTTAAGTGACCGTTACTTCACCATAGAGCCTGTGCCAGACTAGGTGCAGTTGGAGGCCATGTGGAATGATTAAGGCTCCATATAGCACACAACGTACGACAGACCCAGGTGTTAAGTGTTAACAGAAAACGGTGGCTGGCAGATGCATCGACTGCACTCTTGCTGTGCGAGGATGATGATGTATATTCACCACCCAGCACGTTGTTATACACACCTCGGCACATATGCACATATTTGTCAGAAAATAATCCACAAGCAGCACACAACTGACGTACCCATAAGAGTGTACGTGGCACGTTGCAAGTGCAATACCGTAATTTGTGATGTAACTCTGTGGGTAACCTCGCGTAAGAAGAGATCAACTACCACAGATTGTGATGATCATTTCGCATTGGTCCTATTAGCCAGATGTAAGCTGTGACTAATGGTGTGGTGTGTAGTTATGGTTGTAACAAAAGTGTTTAGTTTTTCAGAGGTTGGTTGCGCAAGAGGGAACTTGTTTGGAATTCAGTTGAGCTGTACCCACAGCCGTCGGGGGAGTGCCTTTAGTGGACTGGAATAGGCAGTGGTGTTCCGCTGTATTTGTTGCTGCGGGGTTGGGAGTCCTGTAATTGGATGCAATGGCGCATGGCGTGGGAGGAGGGGCAGGGTGTGTCATTCGGCTCATTCATTTCCTTAAGTGGTAAGTGTAACATTCAAGCAAAGTGTCTTTCCCTTTTGCACTTTCCATCGTGGACATATTGTCGTTACGACCGCGGTGCCCACTCCTGTGGGGATTGCGCAGAATGCATCGTTAATTTTATTTTGTTTCAGCATGCATACTAGAAAAATGCACTTTGAGCCAACGGAGAGAATAAAAGCATCGGGTTGTTTTTATGAACCTTAAGTGGTTTTTGTAGTGTTGTCTGGGTCACGTGTGAGGTAGATACTTGCCAGCCCTGATGTGATGAAAACACCACAAATAATAACAACAACAATCACGTGCAGTGCCCCCACGTCTGCATGTCATCCCTAGCAGCGGAGTATCCGGTCCGTAACAATAACAACTACTGGCTGTCTCTGCGGAACATTCGAGCACATGGTCTGAATTGCAATGTGCAATCTCAGAGTGATGTTCACTCTGAGGTGGGGCTCAGATGCATGGGTGATTCAGCCCTATTTAGTGATGTTCAGCAAACCACGAGTTGTGGTACAGTAAGTTGTCCCAAGCATGAATGTAACTTTTCCATTTGAACAAAATCTTTAAAATGTTTTATTGCACATTCATCTCTGCGTATTGCACATGGCAGATTATTTTTACAACATTTTGAATACTCTTAAGATATATTTTTCCTAGTATGTAGTCTAGGATATTTTTCTGTTTGTGAAAAGGGTGCAAGAAAAATATATATATCCATTATCCGTTATTTTATTTCATTTATTAAAAGTGCATGCAAATAGCTGTGATCAACAACTATGCTTGGGGAATAACAAGGTAAACGTGTTGTGGTGGTTGGCCAATGTTGTGGGAAACTATTTAAGAAAAGTGCCTGGCCAAAAACATTTCACTGGCTGAAATAAAGCTTACAGGCAGAGCAGTCCCTTGTGAAAATTGTGGACGCAACATTTTTGGTGGCATTTCGAGGTTATATAACCATACAATCATTGTCTAAATTAGATCATTGAGTTCGTCGCCTTGATCAGATCCTGTGGCTTATAACCAAACAATCATTCTTCATGAGTAAATTGAGTTAGTCACTTAGATCAGATCCTGTGGCTTACAATAAGGTCCCTGAAACTATGAAAGGTCTCTGAGATCATGGCACAATCCACATTTTCAAACTTTGCTCAACTTGTGCGTGGCATGTGTACTGTCAGACATTATTTCTCAACACCGTATCTGATCAAATTATCAACTGGTCCCAGTGGACTACGAACTGAAATTTTAACTTGCATTCTTCCAAATGTGAGTCCGTGGGGTGTTTCTCTGCAGTAACATTCACAGCCATTTACATCGGCACTCCCTTCACCACTATTGTGAAAGGGAGTTGGATGCGATTGTTAACATATGCAAGCAGGCGGCGCACGTTTGTTAAAATCTGAAAGAAAGCCAAGGCCTAAACCTTAGAACTTGGACTTGAGCATTGTTCTGTTCATTGACCGCTTGTTGTAGGGTAGTAAGGTTTATAATAACTCTGTGCTAAGAGCTGATCTTACGGCTTTGCCTCTGTGGTCGGACTTGTTATTGCAATCACTTAGAAATCCTTGGACGCTGTTAGTTTAATTCGCACCTCACATTCTGGGTGGTGGGGAGTGGGGGGCGGTGGTGCAGTGGTTAGCACACTGCACTGTTACCCAGTGACCTGTTAAAGTATGGTTAACTCACGTGACTGATTTCAGCATGGTGTTGATGCCTTCAGCCAGCAGTGGATTGAGGAAGTGCTATATTTTATTATTATTATTATTAAACCATATTCTGGGCAGAAATGTGGTTCGAGTTGCATGACTCGCAATTGAAAGTTGTAAATTCAAATCCCAGTTGGGGGTTAACTCTGCTTTTCATGCCTCCTGGGGTTGGTAGTCAGAGTACTACTTTGCAGGAAGTCATGAGTAGTTTTCCCATCAAGAGACTGGACCTTGCCATAGGAGACTTCAATTTCCACCTGCTGACTCACACTATGAATGGTGATGATCAATGTCCCATGCTCACTTAAGCAGAAGGTCACTTGGACCTTGTTTTATCAGTATATATGATACTCATAAAACACGGCTCTCCGAAGACAAGTATACAATAGTGTCGTCACTTTGCTCAAGGAGGGAGATTGAGATGTGGTGGTCTTCGCCACCGGTGATGAAATGGCGTGGGTACAGGAAGCCCTCAAGATAATCTACATCTTACTCATTCCACATCATAGACGGGGTTGGCACAAGGCACTGACACGCAAACTCACGTCTTTTGCATTTGCCAACAACCTGTGGCTCACAGACCGCTGCCTCAGGTGGAGAGACTCGTGTGCCCGTGCTTGCTGGCGTTTGCTGTGGCGCAGTCTCATGGAGCCGAGTCTTGATCACGTTTGACTCGCATAGTTCGGGTTTCGGTCGAAAAATCTCAAGCCCTAAAAATGACTGGAGCTAATATTGGCACTCGTGTGACACAACGCCGTTTGGACAGGCTTTCGTGACTTTGACCAGTGTGTTTATAATCGGTGCTTGTCTTTGCATTAATAGCCGCGGCTTGGCAACAAACGGCGAGTTGGGTGCTTCAGCTCACTTCTAATTGGCCGAGACCCATTAGGTCCTCAATCTTTCCCTTAGAGGGGTTGGCACCCCAATCAAAAGAACATCCATTTTTTTTTCCATCCGGTAAGAAAAACACGATTTCAAGAACCACAATGCATGTAAATACAAGACTGCTCTTAATACAGGTTGACCCAAAAAAAACGGGCCCCGTGCACACGGGGCCTATTAGAGTTGGGGCCCGTTTTTTTTTAGTCACCCTGTAAATAACATCCCAATGCAGCCCTTACATGCGTCTCTCGAGGAGCTGCCGGTTGCCGACCCCTGCCTTTCAGACCACGGGATTACGGAAAGAAGAGTGATGGATAAGATAGCATTTCCCCGCTTGGAATGTGTGAAGGAAAACAGGGCAGCAGCTTGCGGTGTTGAAGGCGGCTCATTGTCACAGCTGCTTTACCCATTACCTTCCGATTCCCTCCAGTATCGCTTCCTGCCATTAGTCGTGTTCTGTGCAGGGGGCAGCCATATAGAGGCCCTCCCAGTGCACATATTGCAATTCCAGCGCCAAATTTGCACCACTTGGACTGAACGCCAATTCCCCGAATGCCGATAAGGAAGCATCATCTGTACACGATTCCTGCTTGTTGTCTTGTGTGATGCTGGAAATGTGTCTTGGCTCTTCCCAAGCGGTAAAACACAACAACAAGCAGTGCTCATCTTTTAAACTTACTGCAACTGACAATTGTGAGAGATTTTTAGAAGCGTTTTGCTCGCTTATCAGAATTGTGGAACGATGAGTGAAATTTCGTTTCGAGCTTATTGACTAAATCTGAATTGTTCTCAGAGCGACTTGATTTTAGAAACCCTCTGTTGTGCAAAGTGGTGAAACTTTGAGCCTTGTGGTGAGTTTTCCAATGTTTTTGCTTGTGGTATGGAAATGTCATTACACGTGTCCACCACAAGAAGGGGAGTTTGTGCTTTGAAAGCTTGGATTTATGTAAACCAGTATGGGTACATGAGGGTGCAAAAAGGAGGCTTTTGGCCCATCTGTGCCCAAGGCTTTTGAAGCTTTGCATGTGAGCCATTAGCACCAGCCGCAATGT